CTGTAGCACAGGCTGGGAAGAGATCCTACTACCTCAGCCTCCCGAACGCTGGAATTACAGGTGTGCACCACGAAGCCAAGCAATAAACACTTTGGAGTGAATGAATGAACCTAAAATGCTCCCCCTGTAGGGATATGCTTATACTGAAATGCTATGTGGCTAAAGAAAATGATACCACAGAAGTTGTGGAGCACTTCCTATACCAGGTGCCATCCTGTATGCTTTTTGTGAGCCCCTCACCGTGATACCAGCACAGCATTCCCGTCATAGAGCTGGGGAAGCAAGGCCCACGGGAATCTCCTGCTCAGGGTCCTATGGTCAGGAAGTGGTAAAGTTTGGATTTGAATCCAGAACAGCCTGACTTGTGTGCAGCTGAGTCCAGATGTGTCCTGAGGCTGGTCACTTGCCCAAGAGCTGCCAGCAGTAGCTATTTCTGCAGAAGGGGACCCCACCCCCACCCCAGGCAGGAGAGATGTGTACTTTTCATGTTACACTTTCAAATTAGTTGGATTCTCAGCAATCAGAAATGCTAATTAGCCAGGTGTGGTGGTGCCTGTCCCTTGGAATCTCAGCTGCTCAAGAGGCAGGAAGATCAAAAGTTTGAGGGTGGCCTGGATAGTTTAGTGAACCTTGGGTGCACAGTGCTGGCCACTGAAGCTGGGCGTGGTGGCACATGCCTGTAATCCCAGTGGAGGAGGGAGAGACAGATTTTGCAACAGTCCTGGGCTGTGCTGAGGGCTTTGATTTTAATCTGAGTGAAATGGAAATTTTTCAAATGAGTAGAGACAGACCTGACGTGGGCTGCAGAGGGCCAGGCCTGCTGTAGCCGCAGGCCCTTTGCACATGCCTTCCCACGCCACCCAGTGTAAGCACAGTGCTGATAAGCTGGGAAGGAACCAGAGCTGCATCTCCAGCCCTTTTTTATGTTTCATTTTGAGACACAGTCTCTTTAAATCAGCAAATGACCCAGGCCAAGAAAGGGACTTGGGATCCTATTCCCTCAGCCTCCCAGAGGGCTAGGATTACTGGTTTTTATCACCGTGCCTGCCTATAATTGTTTGGTTTTTGGTCTTTGTTTTTTGTAAAAATTTGAGCCTGTGTGTGCGAGGCAGATGGAATCATCCCAAAAATCAAAATTCTAAATGTCATCTTTCTTGTAGAAATTGCCAATCCCCTAGCAGCTCTGCTGGGGTGACTTAAAAACCCAATGACAGTGGCTCCCACTTTTTATTTCTTTAAAAGAAATGAAAATTTAGGGCTGGAGAGATAAGTGAAAAATCAGAAAACAAGGCAGGAAGAAAACCATGTGGCTCCATCCTATGTTAGCTATCCTTCATTGCCTTTATTTATTTACTTATTTTTGGCTGGCTCAGCCCATCCCAAGGGTAGGGCTGGTGCAGCATGTGGTGCTGGGGATCAAACCATGGTCCCCTGTACCTGCCTAAACTTGCAGGCACTTTATCACAAATATTTCTTTTCTCTCTCTCTCTTTTTAAAAAATATTTATTTATTTATTTATTTATTTATTTATTTATTGTGTGTGTGTGTGTGTGTGTGGCCAGCTCAGCCCACCAGGGGGCGGGGCTGGCTGGCATGTGGTGCTGGGGGATTGAACCGCGGTCCCTGTGCTTTGCTAAGCTTGTTCTAAGTAGGTGCTTTAGACCACTGAGCCATCTCACCAGCCCCTATACTTACATATTTATTTGTGCGCTTTGCGTGAGGAATATGGCCGATGGTAAGACTTCTTTCCTGGCTGATGTGTATAATATTAGCACAATCACTAGACTTGTTCCTAGTCTTAAATGCCCAGATATCTAAATGCCCTGTGTAGGAGTCCCTTCCTGGTTTTCGTCTCAGTCCAAGAAGTTGATATTTGTAATCCCAAAGATAGGTTATTGGAATCCCATCAAGTTAATTCCAATCTACCATTCCCAGTGCAACCCACGGTGAAAGTAAAGACACTAAAACATATTTTAATTACTGGGGAGTCACGGGGCCCTAAGTCCAGCCACGAAGATGGCTTTCTGGAAAAATGAGGCTGACCCAGGGCCTCACCCGGTTTTATTCAGTGGATGAGTGGCTTGAGTTGGATTGACTGAGAATTGTGAGAGGTAAGTGACTCTTGTGAGCTGAGCTAGGTGGGTGCCTGCATTCACCTCTGCCATATGCAGAGAGAGTATGCAGAGAGAGTAATCTGCTTTATGCTGTTGAGATAGTACCTAATGTTTTGGGGGGGTCTGGTGCTTCAGCTTTGATGTAATCTTTCAAGCCCCAGGAATTCATAGCCTCTGTCTCGAGGCTCGATCCCAGCCAGCACGGAGGAGCATTGGCGCTTCATCCTCTCAACCCAGCTCACTTTAAGGAGCAGCAGGGGTAGGTTACCGGGGAAACACGCATGCTGCCTTCAAAGACTACCACCAGCACCTCTGCTAGACGATATGCATTGCTTAAGGCCAATTGAAAGGATAAACAGAAGTCCTAGTCAGCTCTGTACACATCAATACAAGGAAACAGGGTCAGGCTCTGTCAACATGGAGACAGTTGCTCTTCTTTCAAGAAGAGCTGCTCAGGTGGTCCTCCACAGACAAGATACAGATTATCCACGCTTCTAAACCAGATACCAGTGGATTAACTGCCAGCGCCAGAAGTAGGTTCCTGAAAGACAGGGCAGCAGTCAACACACTGGCCACTGCATGAGGATCCTCCGTGATCCAACCTATGAAATCTGAAAGCTGTCTGATGGGTGCAGAAGCAAAGTCAGTAGCTCCAGGGCACTATTTATTCATTTTTTCAGTATCTTTCTTGATTGTTAGTGATTTTCATTTATGCTATGCATTAGAATCACTGGGAAAGTTTCAGTTTCCTCAGTCCAATCAGAATGTCTTGGAGTAAGGATGGGATGCTGCTTCTTTTTTTTTTTTCACTGAGAATTAAACTTGGGACTTTGCATTTGCCAGGCAGGTGCTTATGCCACTGAGCTATCTCCCCCTATTTACTTTCTTTCTTTTTCTTTTCTTTCTTTCTTTTTTTTTCTTTTTTTGTATTTTAGGGAAGGGTCTACAGGGTGTTCAGGGTCTCACTGCTAGATCAGACCCATAGTGATCTGCCTGTTTACAGCCTCCCAAGAGCTGGGATTATAGGCATGCATCACCACGCCCAGTCTCAATTGCTGTCTCAGTGCAGGCCGGGGGTGGGGCCCACACAGCAGGCCCAGGGATGGAACCCCCAGCCCCTGGGCCTGCTTGCAGGTGCTTTAATCCACTGAGCTATTTGGCTGACCCTTCCCTTTTTCTTTTTGAGACAGGGTCTTGCTATGTAGCGCAGGCTTGCCTTGAACTCACGGTGGTCCTCCTGCCTCAACCTCCTGAGTGCTGGGATTACAGGCCTGTGTCACCATGCCAAACTATGGTTTATTCCAGATAAAATGTTCTACCTTTCACCTCAGGCTGTTGGAAAATGGCCTGAGGTTCAGGGAAGTCAGTGGATAAAAGAAAAATATATCTTTGTGTCCTTTTGGCCATGCAGGTCTGATAACATTTCTTTTAAAAGTAACACAGATCCAGGAAATGTCAGGCAACTCATGGAAATGGTTGTCAGAACTTCTTTAAGTAGCTAGATAATTTTTCCAAGTTAAACCTTCAAAAACAAAAACAAAAACAAATTAAACCTTCGTGGACTCACCTCTGGCCTAGTAAAGAGCAGACTACAATTTCTTTCTTTCTTTCTTTCTTTTTTCTTTCTTTTTTTTTTTTTTTTGGCAGAATTGGGGATTGAACTTAGGCCCTTGCGTTTGCCAGGGAAGCGCTTATTCCACTGAGCCGTCTACCTGGCCCCCCAGACTACAACTGCATTAGCTGATGTTTATTTTGTCGGCTCACATTTGAATACTAGATCATCATGAAGAATGGTGAAGAGTATTAGCTAAATCAGCTTTTGAAATCAGAGGCTCATAAAGGCAGGTCAGAGCTCCTGGCACCAGGTCAGCCAATTTCTGTGTCAGCTTTTCTCTGAGGATTTGTTCTGCTGGTGACATCTTGGCTTAGGTAGGTGACCTCATGTGATGACAGTTTTACACAACAGCTGACCTTGCAATTCCAGCATACTCTTGAATCCAGAAAAAGCCCCAAGAAGAGGTGGTAGGAGGTTCTGTTAGCACAGGTGACATTGATCCATCACTTATACCACATATAGTAACTCTACACATATATGGGAAACACCTGAAACCCACAATAGGGACAAATGTCGTTGTGAAGTGTGATATGAT